AGGAGACGAAAGCAGACGACAGAATATTGCTAAAGAGCAGGAAAGGAGGTGAAAGGAGACAATTTTAGAGAAGAAATTTTTTCGGTCGCTACCCGGATTCGAACGCGGGACCTTTGAATGAGAGGCAAACACCTTAACCTCTAGGCCACGAGAGCCCCCCGGGAAAAGTAAGACAGACAGAAACAACAGAGGGAAAGTAAAGAAGTAGGACCTACCAGTGGCGCCCTCCAACCACCCGCATTCCGAACATAAAGCGTAAGAAAATTTTACATTTTCATGTTTTATCATCAGTTCTTTGAAAAAGAAACAACACATTATTGTCATTACTAACTTGAATTCTTCAAGACCCACAACACAAAATCAGTAGTCTACCGAATGACCGCAAGTCTAGAGAGCGTCAACTTGCACCAAACCTGCACAACAGCGGCTATAGATCGAAAAAGAAAGATAATTATAACAGTTTCACCAAGGACTAGGGTGACCACAAAAGCAACCACCAACCACCCACAGAAGCCACAGAGAGGAGTGATGTGAACCCCCCACCCACTGCCCCAAAGTACTCACTTATTGCTTACGATGGCCACGTTGGGACGTCTAAAGCACCCCTCCAGAGGGATCTGCTTGTAGGATTTGTTCACGATGCCACCTGGAGTAGTCAAAGAAAACGGACAAACAAAATAATAAATATTCACAGAATATATCCTAGAACCAATCATTTTACAATGAAACAATTTAATGTGGGCATAACCCCCTTTTAAAAAAAACAACAACAACGAAACAAATAAATAAATATCTTTAAAAAGAAATAAAAAGGCAACACAGAGACATCCCCCCCCCAAAAAAAAACAAGAAATCTAGAAAAAAAAATTTTAAATACGAAAACAATTTCAAACCCATCCCCCTGCCCTTCCCCTGAACCATACCCTGAGGTTGACTCTTAGTCATATATATCGATAGATATGATTTGAATATGATTGCAATGTTTCGCATAACATCGATGATGATTTTGACGATAGTGGAAGTGGCAGGGGATCACCACTAGAGCTGCCAGAAGCTAGACCTATGGCTGGGTCTAAAGATGCTTTCACTGTAGGCACGAGTCAGGGATCACACAAAAGACGTTAGTCATACAGTTGGTGCTAAAAAAACAGTGTTTTAACTTTTTCCCTGTTTGTCCAAACTGTGTATTCATATAGAACACATTCAAATTTCAGTACAATTTCAAATCTGACAACAATTAAAGACACAGTAAGTAAAGCAATGACTTAGTTTTAGTAAGTGTTTTACGGCACTTGCAACACAATAAGGTCATGTAAGTGCCGAAGATTAGAGGTGTTACAAGAGAGTAACAAACACAAAAAAGGAGGGGAGATAAAGACGATAGACATTTGACAGGAAAGAGGAAGCAAAACACACCAGAGCACCCGCCAACCACCCACGTAATAAATGAAACAACCTGATTTTTTCTAGTACCCCTTTAATCCAGGATTTTTGGGAAGTATGGGAAAAAAACCCTCGGGGTTTTAAGGGTGAACTCACTGATATCTCCCCAGGTGTAGGGGTTGCAGCCGCCCGTGGTGGCGTGGTAGGT